TGGTGGTGGTGGTGGTGGTGGTGAGTAGGGGTGCTAGGTGTCGTATCGAACATGAGCTTGGGAGTGCACGCCGGGATTACCCTCATCGAGGACGGGATATTCTTCGATCTGACGTCGGGTATGGCGTTTGTCTTGAAGCATGACAAATGGTTTCTCTCTGCCCTCGGCGCGTCATTTACAAAACATGACGACGTTCGTTTCATCGAAGTCTGAACAACGCCTCGAACTTTTGATGTGCATCCCTCCCCGGTGTTCTGGGCTATTCGGGGGAGATTCTGCAGAAGGAAACATCCAGTAGCTACACGTCTAAAGGTAATGAGACACCTAGAGGGTGCGACACGGGCCCTCGACCAAAACAACAGAATTCAATCAATTAACTTTATTAAATTTGCGTGCATTAATACGTAGATGCGGCTTAAGACGAAGCGTGAACTCGCTCGGGGTGGTTCAAACAGACGATATGCTCCCGAAGCGCAATACGCCAGAGGGCTATATCTTGCGATGTTATGGACCGCGAATACCTTGGCGTGGTCGCAGGCGGTGATTGGCAGCGAAATCTGTTGAGTATTGGTGGATAAAGGAGGTTGTAAAGTGGGCGCGAGCAAGTTTAGTAACAGCCGATTATTGTTCACAGGGTTCTGTGCGCTACAGCCTGTCTATTTATAAGTTAGAGTCAAAAAAAGGTCCCAAAATCTTAACCGCCGGCTGATAGTTGTCCCAGTACTCTCATTCCCGAAACGTCGCGTGAGGCCCTCTCTTGTCGTTGGTTCCGTTCATATTGCATTATTGCCTCCTATGCGTGGTCAGTCACTTCACGTCTCGAAGAAACAAGGGTGAGGTCCCTCACCGACAGAGCTCGTTGAATATCAGCTTCTTCTCGGTGAATTACTTCCAGAACCCGAGCAGTTCTGAGCGCGGCTTTCCTGGATCAAGGCCAGTTCACGACATCCCTTCCACGTCCGTTAGCGGGGTTTCCTTCTTCAGGTTCGTTGGTGTTGACCGTCGGTACGCCTGACGCGGAAATAGACCCGTGCTCCAGGGTCTGCATTGAACTTGGCCTGGACAGCAATCCTGTCGGAGACAAAGGCTGGTGCGATGCTCGAGATCTAAGCCCGGGTCTCCTCAATGTCTGCGTCTCCGTGGTTTCAGTCGGCAAGGATGTCGTTGTCTTCTTCCTCAGCGGTTCATGCTCTCCGTTCGAGCTTCGCTTCGGATCTTCTCTCGTTCGCTTACTACCGCGAGATCCGGCCTGGATGCTTCCCTGGGAAACGTCGATAACCCTGTCGTTGGAGTCGCCACCAGAGTGACTGCCGTTGCGCTCGTCATCCCTATCATGACTCCTTCTACTGGGATGCATCCGGCTAGCTCCCACGAATCCTGAAATTGCTATGGGTTCCTCGGGTTCGGGGAGACTGCGTGTCTGCTTTGTGAAGTCGGCGCAGTTGATTTGCTTACACAGCTCATCGAGTTTCCCTTCTTGCTTGAGGAATTGTACGTCGATTTTGTTCCAAGGCTTGCGCATCCGCACTGCATGCCTGATACGACGAGCGGCCAGCGCCTCTGTCATCAGTCCAGTGGGAGGCATTCTGGCTTAGTTGAGCTCAGCTCTTAACTACAGTCGTGATTTCAATATTTAGATACTCAGGTATCGCTAGAACTATCACGACCTGGGCTGATGAAATGGGCACGGGATATCTGCTGCAGGAAGGGTGAAGGAAGGTTGAAGGGTGCAGCTAGAGGTATTGATTGGAAGGCGCCCCCACCTTGGCGACCGGGGTTGAGGAAGGACCATGTTCGGCGAATGGACCAGGGTGGAGGTGGGTACGACGGCGGTACTCACTCTATCTATTCACATCTCCTTGAATCAAATCCCAGTGGACGAAGCTTTTTCCCAGGCGTCCGTCTGGCTTGATCTTATGTTTTCGAAACGGGTTTACATAGGCGCCGTCACCCGCTATCTTTCTTCGCGTGGACACCATGGTGCAGATAAACACACCTCCCGTACCGGAAACACCCACGCTTGCACTCATTGGCCGGCGCACCCTTGGAGATGATGTTCATGTTGACCAACGTCAAACGGGGCCAATCATGACCCGGGTACGGAGGCCTATAAGGCCCCAACAGCAAGGGTGATCACGCGGATTTCGGCTCACGCGTCCAGCGCGGATGTTCTTTGATCCATCGATGCATCGATGCTGCCGACCTGACTGAATGACCTCCTGTAAACTTTGACTCCTTTGCACACCGATGACTTTCGGATGGAAATGGTCACAACACTGCGCCAGTGCGAAATCAACTCCGATCTACCACCAACTCATTTGGGGCGTGGCCTTTCGGAACCTTTTGTTACGGCGAGCAAGACCCGATTTGCGCGAGGAGGGCGAGGACAGGAATTTGACCATGGTCCTGCGTTGATCCAGTCGATACCTTAGACAGCCGGCGCCCCACCATGTTCCGGGATGAAAGTGCCATCGACGGCGAGGAATGTCGCCACCGATATCGCACCGGGATACGTGCTTCATGGATGCGGCACTCCTCTAGGCGCGGCCAAGCAGCTCCTCGGCTTCCGAGAAAGCCCATGGGGAGCGGTCGAGACGGAGCCCACAAGTTCAAGCGCAGCGGACGCCTGCGAAAGCCAGGAGTGTCGCGACGGTCAGTGTAATCGAGCGAGTCGAAAGGGCCCGACCAGACCTCCGCATCCCAATTGACGCCGTTTCGATTGCTCAGGTCAAGGTACGACAACGACTGGTCCGGGTGTCTCGCCCCATCGGAAAACAGAACTTCTTCGTTTTTCCTGGCCACGGACCGGAGCCAGCGGCTATCCTCGAAGGTCAGCTTCCGAGGGAGGAGTGGATGATGGCACCGTCTTCCGATCCCGTGGTCCCCATGCCAAAGGATGAAATCCTGCGTTGGTCCTGATCACTGGGAGGTCCCGACCGCGGAACTTCGCACCTTGCCGGGACTCGCCTCAACCTTATACACCCGGAGCCAAGCCACCCCCAGCTCATGTCAATTGTGTGAAAAGTTGAGCCGACGTGGTGCATCTCGGCGCCACCGTCAGTCGTCACCGGAAAGCATGAGATTTTCTCCTCGCTGACACATCACCCCCAGGTTGTCACCACATCCAATCATCTCTTATCCTCGTGGCCTGCTCACAAGGATTTGAAAAAGCACAATCACACAAACATTGACCGAGCCCTCGAGCTTGCACAATCTCGACTGAAGGGCCGGGGGCTTCACCTCCCAATCTCCATGTCCTGGGGATCCCTCGCTGATGTACAAGAAGATCGCAGGCTGCGCCCTGACTGGGCGGGCATTATTTATACCGGACTACCTCCATATGAAAATCGTGTTTCCGGACATACGAAACCGTCATCGAAAAGGAGTTCCGCGATAAAAGATTCCGCTTCAGTAAGTATACAAGAGGAATATTGGAAACCATTACGGCAGCTGCTCCTATACTGTATCCACGTCAACACAAGGTATGGATATATCATATCGGACGCAGAAGCCTTATTTTTTCGTCGGACAAAATCACAAGAGCCTCCTACACCCCTCTCTGAGAGCAGGTCACGACGTCAACCTCCACCAGCGCATACTCGCGTGACTTCTCTCACCTCGGTAGCGTCAGGGACATCGGCAATGTCTCTTGACTCTTCGGGATCCCCATATACCGATGCGGGAAACCCAGATATAAATGAGGCACCGTTGGAGATTGCTATTATTCCATGGGCCAACTCTGGTACGGCGGAGCTGACCATCAACTTGGGAGTCTGGTTCATTCATATCCTTGCGACATCTGACATTTCCGTCGAAGAATCGTATCATCCTTTGGGAAGCTGGCGGAGGATCAAAGATGAAAAGGGTCACTGGTGCTTCCAACAGGAAGGCTCACGGAGAGTTTCTCAAACGCTCCCAGAAAGAGGGGTTCTGATTGAAGCTGCGCCATAGTCGTGATTCACTGGTATAGTAAAGCGCAATATCTTTTAGTCTCTTAAGTAACTGAAAGGCACAATTACATCTCCGCAGATACGGTGACAATTATGGTGCATGCGATGAACGTAAGAATGTGGGATGAGCCGAGGCTGTCTACTGCCTGTGAAAACCGATGACGTCTTCTTGCCACGTGAACCATCCGACGTGCCAAGCCCATCTCTCGAAAGGCTTCACATCTCCGTCCGCGTCCAACCCTGTTGACTTTTACACCGAAGACGCAACGATGCCGCAGACCGAACTCCACGAGTTTGACTCCCTCGTCCTGAAACCTGTCAAGTTGCACCATGAAATTCGTTTCCGAAAATACGCTGGGAATGGACGGGCAGGTAATGTTTTCAAGATCCGCATGAATAAGGAAGATTACGCTTTGAAGATGGTAAGTTCCACGAGTTGCTCCCTTCAACGCCTGTTAACTCCCGAAAAGTTATATTCGATAACCCCGGATTGAATGCTACA